GTGCTTTTTGTGACTAGATTAAGTGCATCTTGTGCTTGTGCGTAAAATACTCCTTCTATCTAATTGTGTAGTGTGTATATAAATAATTGTGCATAGAAAATAAACGCCAGGAACCGTTAGTTGTTGCTTCTTTATTTCGATCCGAACACGAGCTACTTTGCGATACAGGATTAAGAACCCTGAGCACCAGTCACGTCCAGGTCCTCTTACTATTCTGACAGGAAAAGAAGAAAAAGACATTGAAGATTGGATTTTACTTAGTTGTATAAAAGTTTCCCAAAACGAAAAGATGATTTAATCAGTAGTGTAGGTAACTTCCTGAATAATAGTAATAAGGTTAGCATTTTTAAGAACGGTGAAAAGTGGAAAAGCTGTTTCTTCACCGGCATCCAAACATTTATGTACGCACATCTGAGGCAGTTATAGCAGCAAGTGCGGCTGTGTCAGAAAACGACGTAACGCGGAAAAGGAAAACGATTCGGATTCTGCTAATTTGATACCTGAAAATAAGGAAAGAAAAGGAAACAGGACATACACTAAAGCTAAAAGAAGATTTTGACTGAATTTGAAGAATAAGACATTATTATAATAATTAAGATATATATCTCACAGTTACTACTATTGATCTCTTTAAGTTATTATACGGTGATAAAAGATATTTAATTTTATACTAATTGTAGCTTATTCAAAAACTTTAAATTAATGTTGATTTTTTATTAAAGCACCTTTAAGCAGATTCATTTATCAGCCTTTTTAATTTATTTTTGTTCTGTATGTACAATTTTCCTTAATTTATTGCATAATCTGAAATGAAAATAAATGGGTCTAGGTTAGGGTTACCAACCCTCCAGGATTGCCCATGTGACTCTGGTAATAATGCTTAACCTACCGACCTCCCGGAGAGCAATCATTTCACACAAAATAAACGCTGTTACGTTTTATGATTCGACAACTGCGAAAAAAGTATCATGTGGAAGAACAAAAGCGAGCAGTATTGCCGAAAATGTTTAAGGGCCGGCTAGTCAAGAATACCTACTAAGTAATTTAAAAACAAATCAATATTTTTCTGTAGCGAGTGATTCGTCAAATAAATGAAATTTGAGAATATATTCATTACTGATTAAATATTTTTTATTTGAGAATTGCATTCAAACGGGTTTATTGGATTTTTGCGAAGATTACCAAGAAAACAGCGAAGCGATAAAAGATCAAATAATACAAATTTTATCAAAAAATAGTCTTTAAGTGAGTCAAATTTCAGCATATATTGCCGACAATGCTGCTGTAAATTATAGAATAAATGTTTCTGTTTACCACTAGTTTAAAACTTTAAAACCGAAAATATATAAAGCAAATTGCTAGTGCCATATTCACCACAACTGCGTTAAAAATTGTTTGAAAGCTTTGTCAGTTGATGTGGAATTAATTATTTTGAAAGTTTATAGCGAATTTTCTAGTTTTGCTAAAAGGAGAAATGAGCTGATGATGAGTTGCTCTAACTCGTTGGTTATCGTTTCTTCCTGCCATATAATCCTATCGCTATGGCTAGCTTTGATTATATATTTCAATGAGCAAGGTGGAGAGAATTGTTCTAAAATATGGAAAAACTTATGTGCCAGTTATGCGAAAACGAATGCAGTTATGGAAAATATAATGCAAGTCTTTCAGAACGCTATTAAATTACTGGAATCAAACAGAGTAACAAGCACTGAAATTCATGACAAATGATGGATCTGAAAACGATGCTACAAAACAGACAAGCTGTCTAATTTTATGGTAAATCTGCCATGGATTGATTAGTGCAGTTTGATGAACCGCAAAAAACAAATGTCAAAACTGAGTTCAATAACTATTTTACGCAATGTTTGACATATTTACAAAAATTGTATAACTTTGAAGATTTTGAATACCAAGCAATGAAAATTTTATCTTTAAAAGAACCAATCACGTGGACCGGTATTAGTAGACTCTAGGAATTATTTAATATTGAAATAGATCATGACAAATTGCACGATGAGGTTGAACTTTTGCGAGAGATGCAACTACATCTCGTTGAAGAAAATCGAGTGGATTTACGCTGGGTTGACTTCTTTACGAAATCGAAAGACAGAAATCCCAAATCCTGAATTGAAAAAAATGGGTACGTTTCTTATTTCCATTCCTGTCTCTAATGCCTCATGCGAGCGCGTATTCAGCATGATGGAGAAAGGACAGGATCCGAATGAATATTTCTTTAGTAAAAGCAGAGATACGAGTACTAACAAACTTCGATTTTTCTTGTAAAAACTTTTATGCGTTCATGATGAAACACCGCCAAATATTTGATGCTGCTCGAAAACAAAATACTAGTAAATATAAATTTAAAAATTAATGAATGATTTTAGAATACGCCCCCCCACCCCCCAAATTTCTTAAACATACAAATTCTCCCGAGTTGGTCCTTTCGAGAGTTGGCAGCCCCACTCATTCGCAGTTAATAATATTCAATTGAAAGATAAAAAACAATATTTTATATATTTAAAATTCACTTTGCCTAATGTAGTTAAATAATATCTAAATTACAAAAAGCAATCCTTTTTGATTTGATTGATTGATAAGGAAGTTAAAATTCTGATTATGGAGCAGATGAGAAATTGGGCTACCAACTTTTTTTTCTGTACCATAAATATGACAAAATTGTTGTCGATATGTTGATATTGTAGCGTCATAATGTTTTATTCATATACCTCTAGATGTTCTGAATTTGTGATTGGACATAAAAATATTACTGAAAATAAATAGTAATTTTATTTTTAACAATGTTTTATTGTTTCCTTTAACTTAAAAATGCTTTCATGTTTAATAACAATAAATATTACCATGACGAATTAAGTTTTCCCGCTACGTTCAGTGCTTTTTTTAAGATTTTGGTAGATGCCTGGGAGCATAGAAAGCAGCACTGTCTGAATTTTATATCTCATTTTTTTATATGCAGTTGATATTTTTCTCGCTATTAATTGTGATATGCGATCTCTGAACTATATACAAGTCAATATATATCATCAGAAAACATAGTGAACTTTGATGAAACAAATCTATCCGACGATCCAGCTTCTTCGAAGTGCATCTTTCGGAAGGGGGGTAAAATACCCCGAACGAATTGCTAACTCTACATAAGGAAATATATCTCTAATGTTTTCAGCCACCGCAAGCGGTCAACAAAAAAATTTGTATTCGGAGTGGATTAGTGAAGGGCCTTCAAATACAATATAATTCGACAAAATCGGGATGGTTATAGCGCCATGTTTGAAAACTAATTTGAAACAATAATTCTTCCATGGGCTCTTAAAACTTCAGGTACTAAGGTTCTAATTTGCGATAACTTATCTAGCCATTTAAGCATTAAAGTAGTAGAGTCATGTGAAAAAAACATCAAATTTGTGTTTATCCCTCCGAGGTCGACATCTCTCACTCAGCCACTCGACGAGGCATTTTAAACAAACTATTATGTTAATTGAGGCAATTCAATATGAATCAAACAAAAAACATACGAAGTGGGTTTAAAGCATGCAGAGTACTGTCTTTTAACCCACGAGAAGTTTTAAAAAAAGATTCTAGAAATGCAAGAAGAAATATTAGTAAATGGTATAGTAATGAATTGGTAGAATATTTAAAAGAAACTAGAGCGCCAAAGCCGATGCCGATCAATTGAAATAAAAAAAAATGTTGGCGATAAGTCTAGATATTCTCTAAATATCTAGACTAATCGCTCTAAATTCTTAATATATTTTGCTAGGTTAATGCATGCATATTAACTAAAAGTGACTGATTATAACAAGAACATACTAACGTCTCATAGAAAAAAATAAACAAAATAGATATTGTCGCAAAAAGTGTACGAAGTTGGCATATTTCACGATATAGATATAAGATAACGATATAGCGTGTTTAAATCTAGCAAAAACCACAATGTTTCCACTGTTCTTTCACGACGACAATCAATAAATGAAACAATGCGATACCGTAAAATGGCAGCCGGCCGACTTGGATTGAATTGGCGTACGCGTCGAATTCCCGCTACATTCGCACAAAGTCTGGAGGCCAATGTTGGATGATCGTCAGAATAGCCGGTCAACAGTCGTAATTAACTTTGAAATTATGTCTATAATTTACTTATGTATTGCTTCTGTTTGCTTATCACGATAAGAGAATTGCTTATTGCATGATTCAAAAGAATTTAACCATTTAAGGTTGACGGACCATCCTGACGTCAGAATGGCTATTCAATCTCTGTAGAGCTGTAATTATGTAGAATTACTGAAATTTTCGTGGACCAAAAATTGCTTATTTCACAATTTATAAGTTTAGAACCCATTATGCTTTCCATTAGTTAAGTACGAACTTACAATCGCAAGTGCCTGTTAATATTTAAAGAGCAAAGTAACGTATTTTGAAAATTGCGTTTACATTACAAAAGGACTTAAAATGCCTGCTAATATTAAGTGAGGAGAAATGAATCTACCCTCGATAATTTTTATAAATTACTCGACGTACATTTTTACTTGCCCTATCATTATTGTCGTTGCGTTAATTCAAAGCTTTTAAATTGCATTAACATTATTTTTTATAATGAAAAAAGGGAGGAAGTTTGTAAATTCCTTAGAGGAACAAAAAAAAAGCGTTTTTACCATATAAAAAGTTATTTCAAAGTGTCAATAACCTTCTTGCAGCAAGTAACCCAGTGTTTACAGAAATAAAAAATTGCATTACCTAGGCCAATTACAGAACAGGGGTTATATCTTTCTGTAAAGAAGAATTTTAATTTTTTCTTTGATGTGCCTGAAAAAAGTGAAGAGGACTGTTCCAGATACAGCGTTAGTACTACAAAGAATAAAGAAAAAACAGATAAGTCAATAAATTTTGATTTTATGATTGATTTATATTAATGGGAAAAAATACAGCCAATAAGTAAGCAATTTAGAGCTATTCAAGATTCAAAGCCCCTGATCACACGAAAATACCGTTTGCCAAAACATGTGGGGTCATATATTACGTGAGCAAATATGGAAAGCAATGAAATTTCCATGTTGTTGGATTTTCAAACAATATTTAATTAAAAATGAGGATCGAATCACTTGCAAAGGTTTATGTAAACAATGTAATGCATTGATAACTGTTGTAATTTCCTGGCCTGTCGATAAAATTGCTCACTGTGCGTGTAATGTGATGAATCTCAATACATTGTTTATTCATGTTGCTGACAAAAAGATTAAATTATCTCCAGCAAAACGGGTTGAAATGTCAGATGAACTAAAAAATAAATCAGCAATCACATATCGAAACCAATTAGCTAATCAACTCATGAATGCTGATGACAATGAACCACCACATATGCCAACTGTTGGATGTTTGAGGCAAATTAAATTTGAAAAAAAAACAAAGTTCATATTATAATAGAAATCAAATACTATCTTTGTGGATAATGACTCGTGTTTCACCATACAAAGAAACTATAAAGCAAATCTTCTATCTTTGTACCCTTATCTTTGTACCCTTTTTTGTTATTTATTGAACCCACTTACAAGAAGCTTGCTGTAAAAAAATCAAGAAACTTGATAAATTAGTTCTTAGTGTGGATGCTACAGGCAGCATTTTTAAAAAATTTGGTCAGAATAATAGGATGTTAGTAACTAAACAAAGTAGCTCGGTGGCGTAGTGGATAAGCGCCGCGGCCCACGATCGTTGTCGTTAAGCAACTTTCGCAAGGATCGGTCACGGGATGGGTGACCAAAAAAAAAATTATCACAAGCTACTCCGTGCTTAGGAAGGCACGTTAAGCCGTTGGTCCCGGCTGCATTTGCAGTCGTTAATACCTTCCAATCCGCATTGGGCCAGCGTGGAGGGTCATGGCCCATCCTCCTTAACCATCCATAAGGAAGGCCTGAGCCCCTGCAGTGGGGACGTAAGAGCTGATGATGATGATGATGAACTAAACAAATATTTTTATATGTACTGATCATGAAAACTCAAGAAAACCAAAGTTCCGTCCCAGTATCACAAATGATATCTGAAAGTCACACAATGGATATAATATTTATGTGGCTACATGCTTGGAGTAAAAACAATCCTGTCCCTGATGAGGTCAACTTGGACGACTCTTCCGCTTTGATTGGAGCCACAGTAAAGGCATTTACTAAATATGATAGTACTGCTGACTATGTCCAAGCTTCATACACAAGATTAGAACATGGAGAAAGTTGTAATGATAATACGTATTGACACAAGTCATTTTAATTAAATTCTATTCAATCTATCGTGTTTTACACATTCCGATAACAGAGTGAAATTTTTTTATATAAAATGTCTAATTGAGTTAAAAAATTGCGATGATTATCTCAAAGCCAAAGATATTGTAAAATGTATGCTACGACCATGTAAGTATAAGAATCATACGAAGCAGCAACAAAAAAGTGATTCCAGATTGTATTATTTATGTTAGGAAATAATGGTCATGTATTTTATTCGCCCAAGTCAATGTACATAAATAAATAAGAATAATAATTATAAATATTTCAATTTATTTGTTTTTAATTCACATACTTAAACTAAGTTTTCTAATCAGAGTCTTTAGGGTCTAATTAACTTGAAACAATTTTTGTGCATTCTTGTTGTTTTCGAAACCTCGTTTATTTGTTACTCGCATACTTTTAACAGGCACGGGGGATTTTAAGCTTGTTCTTAATTATGGTCAAAGTCAAAGTCAAAATATTCTTAATTCAATTAGTCTTCTTAAAAGTACTTTTGAATCGTCCAACATTTTTTTTCACTACCACTCGTTCAGGACGTCTTTTGGCTGATAAGCAGAACGAGCAAGAAACTCACCAGCTCCAATTGAAGTAATGACATTCACAAAAACCATGTCATTACTAGATCAATACATTATAAACAAAAAAGTATGGTCTTATAATGATAAGTATGAGAACATAATAATATAATAATAATGGAAACAAGATAATTTTTGAGATATAGTGAGTTTAGAAGAAATCACCTATCCATTTGCTGGACCATCTTAAGTCCAACCATTCTTATCTGTTATATAATCGGACACCTTATAATAAGCTTTTTTAATAAGTATTTTTTTAATAGTACGAATTAAATACCTTTTGTAATGTAAACGCAATTTCCAACATACGTTACTTTGCTCTCATAATATTAACAGGCACTAGCGATTGTAAGCGATTGTAAGCTTGTACTTAACTAATGGAAATCATAACGGGGTCTCAACTTATAATCTATATATTATAATCCAAATATCTTGGAATAGGTGTAGGTACTACGGGACGAAGAAAGCACTTAAATTTAAAATATACATGAGTCCTGCCAGGGCACCCTACCCATAGGGCTCAAAAAGTATTCAGCAAAATGTTCTCGTTGAGCGTTGCCAGACGTGTTTGTAGGCACAGTTGGTATGTCTACCATACCCTCAATCGTAAATGTATCTTCTTCTAACCATCGCGAATTCTTATAAAATTATGCAATACGCAGCATGCTTTAACTATATTCTTTGCAACTTTAAAACCCACATTAATCGGTGTATGAAACACTCTGAATTTGTTTGACATATATAGAATAGCCGCAGTAGACGATATATAGAATGTCGATTCTATATATATCGTCTACTGCGGCTCAGTCTATAGTTAATTTTTTTTTCTTATGGGTCATATTACTTCGCGCAATTTTTTGTGATATATCAAAAGGCCCACCACCCACGATTACATATTCAACTGGACTATATGTTCCAGGCAGTGGCTTGGGCCATGGTATATTTTAAAGTGTTATAAATTGACGAGTCCGAGTTTTTTCCATATGATCCAATGTTTATATACATAAAACAATAATCTGTAGCGCACATAGCCAGTAGAACTAAGGAGTTAAAATTCTTGTAATTGTAGAACATTGATCCTCCACCTTCTGGATTTACGATTCGAATGTGTTTGCCATCGATAGCTCCGATGCAATTTGGAAAATTGGTCTTTTGTAAAAACCCGTTTGCAATTTCTGTCCACATATCAGAGATTTTTGTTGGTATGCATTTATCATGTAGTGCTTTCAAAAAATCATGATTGTATTATTTCAGGGAAAGTGATCCAACAAAGATGGAAAACGGCAAGAGATGCATACTTTAGGACAAAGAAAGCTACGAAAAGTACACCTTCTGGAAGTACAAAAAAATATATCTATTATGATGAACCAAGTTTCCTGAGTCCATCAAATGAGAACCAAATTGATGAATCACTGAACGAAACTATGTCCCTCTCACCCTCATAAAAATATGGATAATGGCATCACTGGATAATATGATACCTTCAGAAAATTCTGATATGTCATGGCATCAAGCTTCTTCAAACACTCTTCAAGGAGAGCAGACTGCTCATGCTGATAATTCTAACTCATCACAAAGACCTTGGAGCCAAAACGTAAGTATCTCAACCTCTTTTTGTTTATCTTAACCATAGAAATGATTGAAAACATAACCTAAAGTTCTATTATTTACCAAGTTATTTTCACATATTTTCAATAATTTTCAAGGATAAATATTTATTGGTTTTGCATCTTTCCAGATCTGCAAGACAATCTTACGGAGATGATGCCATGCTGGCAAAAGAACCCGCTCTACACAATTTCCACCTCATAATAATGTGCTGACACAATTTCTTCAAGCAGCGGCAGATCAAAATGTTACCAACTGTGAATTACTGAAATAAACTAGCTCTAGCAGTGTTTAAGAGCATGAGAAATTATCGCTATTATCTCATTATAGAGCATTATAACAATAGTGATTGTGATGCGTTTTTAGATACAATATCAGAGTATTTCACTGAACAAAACATTGAAATGATTGAAGAGAATACTCGAACACAATACAAAAACAAATTGTGGCACAAATTGAGATATGGGCGAGTTACAGCTTTAAAAACTTATGAAGTAAGCAAATGTCACACTGTGGATGGATCTTTGATTGCTATGATTATGGGAGTCAAAATACCAGATAAAAAAGCCATGAGGAGAGGTCGAGACTTAGAAAGTCAAGTAAAAGTGATTGTAGAAAAAACATTAGGGGAAAAGGTGAATGATGTCATTGCTGGTGGTTTAGTAGATATTGGACCTATTCCCAAAATGGCTTACGCCAAAAAAAACGACCTATTCTCGAAATGACCTATTATTTAATAGATCTTTTCGCATAATACCACATTCTGCGAAAGACTCATTCCTTTGTAGAAATGAGTCTTGACTAAGTATAAGTTGTAAGAATAAGTCATTTCACGAATAAGGCATTGATGCCTTATTCGTGAAATGACCTATATAATTACATTACATGCGCGTATTATTATTGTCTTTAGTTTTCCCTATACTTATATACGGAGGGTACTGAGTAGTTTAATAGTCAAGTAAAATAATGTTAGCAATTTGAGGGTATTTTAGTTTTTGTGTCACTTTGTTGGTAAAAAATTACTGTGGACGTACTAAGAAGAAAAATGGATGAACCAGATATAATAATCACTAAAAATCAAAAAGGTAACGAAACGTTATTGCATAATTGTAACACCAACACAAGCCAGTGACAGTACTACATCAGTCCAGCCTAATAGAACAACAATAGCTAGAGATGCTCCTACATTAGCCCAGTCCAACTCACAAACAAAAAGACCAACTCGAGCTAGAGATGGTCCCACATTAGTCCAGCCCAATATACAAATAACAAGACCAACTCGAGCTCGAGATGGTTCTACATTAAAAGATATTATCAGTTCTGATGGTGAAACAAGACAAGTGCTATCAGTAAGTATGAATTTATTTAATAAAAAAATACTGTTCCTAGTTTAATACAATGTGATAGCTATACATATTGCAATGGACAAAAAAACAATTAACAATGAAAAAGTTGTCATGTCTTATACTTATTGTATATAAAATCATGAAGTTCAATTTTCTTTTTTAGGAGATAAGAAATGAATTAAAAATAAGAAATATTCAGAATAATATAAAAAATCGTCGCCTGCACCGAGAAAGGTAACTTAATCTTTATTTCACTTTTATCTTGACTAAACGATAAATAATAAATCTTTAATTTTATTACGAAAAATAGGTCGACACAATTTCGTCTCTTCTAGTATTTGCTAGCTCCAGCATCCTTATATTGTTCTCAAGAAATATCAATACCTAATTTCGAGCAAAGAAGAATGTGACTTTATGCAAACATTGCAACCTGGTAGTTGGGTATTAGCCGATGGTGGCTTCAGGCATATTGAACAAATCTTAATACAAAAAGATTGTCATCTACTGAGACCCACGAGTGTAGCTCAAGGACTGAACTCCTCCTCTGGCATCTCCATGGCTTTAGATAATTCGCGTACAGACGCTTTTTGCCGTTTGCGTCGCAACTTTTCCTCATAGTGTATTAAATAAACTCGGGCGGCATTCATTTTTAATAGAATAGAACACGAAGTGTGCTAATGCTTATTCTGTGTCCGTGAATAAAACTTATATTTGTTTATTAGTGACTTATATGCGCAATGCTTATATGACTTAAATGTCAAGTGAATTACTTAAATTGTATAATTTTTTTACATGTAAAATGAAAATGTAACTAGTAAAAAATAGCGATGAACTCCCCGACTCGCGTTCTCGACTACTATAGGAGTAGTAGACAAATATCTCAGTTTCAAATGTCAAAAGAAGAGAAAAGTGGTTGTCGTGCTCGCGAGAATAGACCTTTGTCTACTCTTGATATTACATACATTACGACTATGAATTCTTCTCGAGTTCATCGTGCTCACATCGACAATATCTCACTCTCGACCCGAGAAAACTGACACTAGGATGTAGACAAAACGTTTCTCGAGTTTGTCATGCTACGCGTGCTGGAGCCAAAACACAAAAGGCGTAAAACAGTAATCAAACCTATTGCATCGAAAGAAAGACGAACTCAAAAGGCGGCTCACACGCCAGAATATGGCGTTAAACAGTCACGTTGTAGATATGAACATTGCGATAAAATAAAACTATGATATTTTGTATTCGATGTGAAATATATCTTTGTTTCGTACCAAACAGAAATTGTTTCTCCAAATTTCATAAAAATAATGATGACGTATTTCTATTTTTTTAAATATTACTAATGTGATTTGACTATGTAGTATTATTATTTTGACATTTAGCAAGTGATAAGTGCTAATTGTCCTGTATAACGTTCCTAATCAAAACGCAAGGCTGATTGATTCTTAAACATTTAATCGTAAGAATTTTATGAAAAGTTAGAAGATATGGTGTATTTTCTTACATTTTTGAAAAACTAATTAAAGAATTCATTTTGATTGACTACTTTTATTGTTTATTTCTTGAAAACTATCGTTAATATCGTATCCAATATCTACCAAATCTTTATGTACTACCAGAAGAACTGACTGAATTACCTTCGCCTGTACTATGGATAGAACGTAAGGAAAATATAGATTTTCAGAGTCAATCTTTTTTTCATTATTTTTTCGGAGAAGGTCGTGCCATAAGTATAGTTTTTTTACAAGTTCCGAAAAGAAACTCCAACATTTAGTTCTCTGGTCGACAGGAGGTTAAAACATTACGTTTTTTAAATATCAGTTTATTTTTGCAATATGCCTCGCGGAAAGAAACTTAGTACAGTTGAAATTAATATTATCAATAATAATAAAAAAAAAAAAAACAAAATTTTAATGTGTCGCAAATAGCAAATACACTAAATAGATCTAGAAAGTTAATCGTAAATTATTTAAAAAATCCTGAAAACTATATGAAAAAAAAATACAGGGGACCGGCCTAAGGTCATAAATGATAGAGATAGACGAGCAATTATACGAGTGGCTTCAAATTCTAATTTAACAGCGAACCAAATCGCTTCTGCAGCTGGCGTGAAAACAAATGTAAGGAATGTTCTACGTCTCCTACACGATGCTAGGCATTTGAAAAAAAAGAAAGTGTTACAGACCTTTAACTGAAAAACATAAAAAAGAACGCCGAAGAACATATATCATGGAAAAAAGTGGCATCATGTAATATTTTCGGACGAAAAGAAGTTCAACTTGGATGGCCCTGACAGATGCAAGTATTACTATCATGATTTAAGAAAAGAAGATATGATTTTAAGTCGTAGACAATTCGGTGGAGGGTGTTATGTGTTGGGCTGCTATAGGCTTTGAAAGAAAGACAAATAAATTTTTTCTCTGGAAAAAAAAAATCGTGCAAGTTACATTAAATTGATCGATGAACAGTTAGCTAAATATGGAACACAAATTGGCGGCCAAAATTATATTTTTCAACAAGACAATGCTTCTGTTCATACCGCAAAACTAGTTAATGACTATTTTAGAACACATTATTCGAATTTTAAAGTGGCCGGCACGATCCCCTGATTTGAATAATATTGAAAATTGTTGGGGTAGACTAGCACGTGCTATATACTTAAATGGAAAACAATTTAATAATGTTGAACAACTAAAAACGGCTATTCAAGATGAGTGGAGAAAGTTAGATAAAAATTTTGTTAAAAACTTATACGAAACGCTGCCGAAGAGACTGGTTGAAGTTCTGAAAAATAGAGGAGGATATACTCATTACTGAAATAAAAATTAAAAATATGTGCAGTTGTTTTATTATTTTTTACCTAACTGTGCTACAGTTTTGTCGCATCGATCAGGGGGCATGATTTTATACAGAACCTATAAGAAAACAATAGCTATTTATTTTGATGTTTACATAAATACCATGGCTAAAGATCTTCGATCGTAGCATGCAAAAGCTAAAAGTATACTTTTATTAAAAGTTGTAATGAAAAATGTATAGTGTGCTAAAGTTTTGTCGCGGAGTGTACAATCTAATATATTGCAACTCAAAGGTTTAAAAATATATAAGGCCCTGGAAATTGCCACAGGATATGGTCAAATTATAAAGGCACGGCGACTAAATAGGAAATCTTTTATTAACAATTGGCCAGAATGGATACCTACCCAAACTATAGTATTAACCATTTCTGGACAAAAACTTCCCTTACATGTCTATTGCTTCTATATCTCGCTTCCAGTAGAGACCTATTTGCTTCCTGAGCAATCTAGACAAAAAAATAATAAATTAGTTATGTCACAAGAATAAATCTTCATGCTAAAAGTCAGTTTGGTTTCAGGAAAGGTATGAGCACCATGGATAGTCTGAGCATTTTCGCCACTGATATTAGGATTGGTCTATCAAAATGGGAAAACATTGTAGGAGTTTTCTTAGACGTGTCGTCTGCTTATGACAATATTTTGCTTCCTCTACTCAGGCGAAAATTACTAAAAGATGCCTCGCTATGAAGACAAACGCAAATTAAAAAAAGCTACTGCATGTTTGCAACCACTTTTTACGCAATTAGAACATAAAGACACGACGATCACAGTTGTTTCATTAAAAAGAAACAAACACATCATCGTCTTCGTCAATATTCTAGATGCATCCATATAGTTAAGCTTGGATTTTCTAGACATATTTTGCACTTCACAGCACGTACTTACAAAAGAAATAAGAAGAGATCAAGCTAAAAATAGTGCCGTACGTATTGCCATTAATATACAAATCTTCAGTGATACACTCCTTTGCTTCAGTCAATACAAGAAAATAGTAAAATTAGTAGCAAGACTACTGAGAATGAATCCCAGCCAAAATAAAAAAGCAGTACACACCTATGTGTGTTATAAGACCTAGACAGAAGACAAAAGAAAATGTAATAAATTAATAACTCTAGAAAATGGGAATTACAAAAGATAATACAAATTAGATTACACTAATAAAAATAGTAACTTCGTACATCCTATACTACTTCCTGGAAAAAATGCACAGCTGGTTGTTTTGTACAAACTCTTTTCTTTTTTGATGTTCAAGTTTACAAAATTCTTTAGAATGATAAATTAAATGGTCTTCTAAACAGGTCATTGGTCTCGACTTTACTTCTGTAGTAAAACTTCTTTGTGTGTTAATTATTCTCGGTGTATTGTAACGTGGTAAATTTTGTGGCCTTTAATAAGTTTTCTCTGGCAACCCTAAAAAAGTTGGGAGTTTGGAATGCACGTAGTGACAACCCATTCGACAGACGTAATTTTAATTTTATTTCGCTGGTCGCCTTTTGCAGGAAATCAATCCTTTAATATCTACTTAATTTGGTGAGCTTTATGTAATAATCCTTCGTTTTTACGTTTTTCCGAGATTGTTTCGGATCGTTCATGACTCGTTTTCTTTCAGATTCCACCCAGTTCACATGAACGTATGAGGTTATTTTGTCGTGGCGACGACCGGCAACCTTACATGTGTTGTTAAAATTATTGTAATTTCCATGCCTGGAGTTGATATAAGACAATAAAAGCTTGGCAGGCCTATTTTCCTCCGACAGGTAAGCCAAGGTAGCCCGAAACCAATAGGGTTCAGCACATGCGTTTGCTTAAGGAATTGGTGTTGATGTGTAACTAAGTAACTCCGTTACAGGAGGCCTATATTGGATGCGTATATTGGAGTTGTATTTTGATGGAGAATAGTACTACGTGATACACGTGGTAACATAAAAGAAGGTGTGGTGAGTACGAGATAAGCTCGGTGAAATCCTGAACCCCACCCTCGATAAAGCAGTGAAGGATCCAAGTAATATAATTTCCTAATACTTTAATTACTAAAGGTATGTACCTTTGTTATCAACCAAGCACACCGACCTTGAACCCTGTAAAGCTAATACCTAAGCTATTGGCCGTTAAGGAATAGTGGAATTGTAGTGTACTGGCTGTAGTGCTGGTTGTCACATGCGCTTACGTCACGAGTCAGTCGTGTTCCGGCGGTTGAGCGGAGCGGTTGTGTGGTGCGATTGCGTGCGTGATGTGGCGCTGGTGAGCCGTAAAATATCCCAAGAAACAGAACAATAGAGGAATAGCTGTCTTAAACAGTTTAGATTTAACAATTTTATGAAAACAGCATCAATACACCACATAAAGTGTCTGAACTAGACTTAAATCTTTTATTCACTGAAACCCTACTTTATCTAACATAATTTCTAAAAAAAGAATATACTACAGTATGCACAAATTCTTTCGGTTTCATAGCTTCATGTGTACGAAATCTAAACACTAAAAACGCAGATTCATGTTTCAAGGTTAATAAATTATAAGTTGATTCAATTCTTTGTTCGAATAGTTCATGAGATTCTGGGTCGTTTCTGTGTTATTGTTGGAAGAAACTTAACATTACCTGTGCCTTTAAAAAAAAGTTTTTTCTTTATGGTCATCAGTGGCGCCACTTCCTTCTTGGTCTGTACTTATTATTTGCAATACACGTTTTTCTAATCCATTAACGGTGTTTTAATTCATTTCAACAGTCGGGCCGTCGGGCCGTCGCCCATAACCTGTTGAAACTACGGATCTATTATTGGTATATGAGACGTCATATACCAATAATAGATCCGTAGTTCAGTATAGTATTGATGTATTATAAGTAAAACAGTTCGCACAGAAATAATCGAGATGCATATCTCTAACCTCCAAATCGTCGGGCGGGAAAATTATTCAACATGGAAATTTGAGTAAAATCATTTTGTTGGTAGATCTGATCACTAACGTACACATTGAAAATGCAACGTCATCTCGTGAGGCATGAATAAACTTGCAGAATGCTTTCGAGGACTCTGATCTTTCAAGGAAAGTTGATTTACTTAAAGATCTAACCAACACAACATTAGACAATAGGGAACCGAACAACTTTTCAGATAGTATTTAAAAATAATCTTTATTCATACCTATATATATTCATAAAAATAATATTTTAATTAAATAAATCCTTTGGGGTACTTAAAAACGTCAAAAACATAATTTATTTAAAATTGCCGCGAAAACAGCACTTCATGTTAATTCAGATCGCATGACGTCATCTGTGGGGTAAACAAACTACAAGCCATATTACAAGTGATCAGTGCTTGGATAAATTGGGTATTAATGAACCGAAAAAGAAATTGTTGGTGTACCTCGTTGTGGAAATACTCGTACATCAGTAACTACTCCATCTCAATAAAATTTTCATTGATGTACCTCGAAAACCAGACATACGAAAGAAATGGTTAGAACTAGCAAGATTAAAGCGCGACAGAATGTCTGTTACTTCACCAATTTATTTTTGCGAAGATCGCTTTGATGTAAGTACTGTACCTAGAGTGTTATTACATAGCCAACAACACAAATAATCGTATTTAGTGTGTACGTAATGTAGGTGTTATAGGTTATGTTTTATTTAGAATGTTTTACGTGTGCATAAACAATCTTGTATTTGTGTTTTAGCTGCCAAATGACGGAAAATTACAAGCGATACCGTGTAAAGTCTTCTGATTCAATTCAATTCAAGATTTCAATGTCAAACTGACAGAAAAAGAAAAATTTGCCATCAACAATTACACCAAACAAGGTTCCAAAGGAAAAAGACTATTACACATATAAGACAGATAAAAGAACTTTATTAATTACTACGAAAAACATTAAGTTTTATTCCTTTTTGGAACTCCTTTCCCAGTGTTTTTTGGGGTCAGTCAAGACCCCATGCGCCTAATTGCGTGATTTTTCTAATGCGCTTAGTTAAAGGTTAAACCAAAAGTCTTGCCGAGCGGAGTGCACCACCGGTGGATATAGCTTGGAGTAAGCGAAAAGTATGCATTCTCTCTCTTTCTAATTAGCTAAATTGGTAAACTACTTGTCTCATCGATCATAACCGCGCGTGCTGCGCTGACGTAACGACACACGTGCAATTTTTTGGATATCGCGCCAAAAACACGACGACACAAAAGTAATTATTCGCGCGCGCATGATTGAGTGTTTGAATTTGTTTGTGCTTAATATTATTGCATAAATGGATGTCGAACGAAGATAATAGTATTGGTCAAAAAAAAAAAACAAAGTTATGAAAATACTGCTATAAAAAGAGCTATGACCCGTGACCGTTTTATTCACTTATTGAAATTAATTATTGAAATATTGGCATTTTGCTGAAGCATCAAACAATGATTACGACGATCATTTCCATAAAATCTGACACATACTATCTCTTATGGTAGCGAATTTTAAATCCACAATGCCAAGCACAAAAACAATCAACCAGATGATGCAGCAGAGGAGGCTACACACAATGTATAAAGAAAGTCAAAACATAAGTTAGAGAAAACGGAAAGAAATGTAAAAATACCCGAAAGAGCTGTGGCTTGAAAAAAAAACCGCCACGTATACATTTTTATAATTATTTGTACCGCTACCGGGTCAACTGTTTGGAGATGTGGGTTTCCATCTCCAAACAGGTGACCCGGTAGCGGTAAGAATGTCCACGACAAAGGGCGCGACAGCAGCACAAGCTATGCGAGCGATGTCTATCGCGTTGGTGTACGGAACATCCCATTCTACCCGGACAAGCCATCACTATGGTTTTCAATGATTGAAGGTCAGTTCGCTTTGGCAAATATTACTTCTGACTCCACAAAATTTTACCATGTCATCGGCATGCTGGACAATCAGTATGCAGTAGAGGTAGAAGACGTCATCGAATCTCCACCTGAAAGCGATAAGTATGGCAAACTTAAGTCTAAGCTAATTAAGCGGTTGTCAGCGTCCAAGCAGCGCAAAGTCAAACAGCTTCTGGACCATGAGGAAATAAGCGAGGAAGCCATCACAATTCTTGAGGCACCTGCAACATCTCGCTGGTTCTGGAATACCGGAGGACTTCATCCGCACCAAATGGAGCAGCAGGTTACCCAGCAGTATTCAAACTATTATCGTTTCTTAGCTTAAGCTTCCGCTAGATAGTTAAGCCGACCTCGCTGATAGCTTACATGATATAGCGCCACCATTTCCACACGTAGCTTCAACTTCAGCTGTACCTTCTGCTTCATCATCTCACCACATTCAAAGCCAAGAAGACAAGATAGACAGATTCGTGTTTCGGTCGGAATAAAAATAAAATTATGCGAATGTGCTCATTCAGCTAAGGAAACAAGGACAAGCTTAACAACTGGTAATTGAAAACAAGTTAAAAGTACTATTTTCTTGGATATCCAACCAAATAGCAACAATCGATTGGCTGAGATAAAGATAAAGGCATAGTGATATAAGTCTAAGAAAACCGGGGACGTGCAGTCTACCACGCGCTACAGCGTTTAACGGAACGAATTTACAATTGTTCCTCAATAACATAAAATAAGCTTTTCAATGGTATTCCGGATATGGAGATGGTACTCGTGTTTACAACCTCGACAAAACTTCTACGGCGACTGTACAAAAACCTTTAAAAAAAATCCAAAAAGAAGCAACGTCTGCAAAATTACTAAAGGCGAAAGAGGCGTTTTAGTAACCACATGCTATATCGTTTCCGCTTTCGGACATGCTCTGCCTCCCACTGTTACCACAAGTGGAAGACTTTCTGCATGATTTATCTCCATGTCAATTTTCCAGTAGACAATAATATTCCAGTTTTAATCGGGCCAGGCAATTCGCCAGACATGAACCTCATTGAGAATTTGTGGTAGATTACCAAAGCGGAAATTGCCAAAGCAATGAGCACTACTAAGGTAAAACTGATAGAAAAGTTGATAACTATCTGGCACCACAATCCTAAAATAAAAGAAAGTGTCAAACAATGCGGTGCAAGCATGCCCAGACGCATATAGTCACTCATTGATGCTAAAGGAAATGTCACTAAGTACTGATAATTAAGAAGTAACGCACCTTTTTAATTTATTTTGAATTTTTAGTTTAATTTTTATACTCTTTTATTTAATTAATGAATAGAATAAAAATTTTTGACCTTTGTAAAGCATGTTCGAAATATATGTTTCGTACATTGGTGTAAGCTGGCAAGTTAGAGAAATGCGTGTTAAATTCATCAAATAAAATCATTTCTTTGATGAATTTAACACGTAATCGTAATCCGTGAGGAAAAGTTTTTATTAGCTAGCAATACTTTCAAAAGTTACAAGATGGCGATTTCTTCTTAACTGTAGACGAGTCTGTGGAAAAATATTTTATATAAAAAATACTTATTTAGAGTTACAAGAGATATATCATAACCTCACTTTAGGTACATGAATAAGGCATTTTAGTATTTATCTGTATACTCGTAATTTGTTGTTTTTATAGGTTGTTGCAGAAGACCATGATATCGTAGTCTCATTCATTGAAACCTATCTTTCAAACGTGATGTCCTTCTATTTCTATTGTTTGAAGTTACGACAAAGATATTTTACTGATAGATGATCTCATAAAACAGTCAGAGATTTTTGGGTACACAAAAAATACAACAACACTTTGCTGTGCAGAAATCTTTCTTACATTGATTGCAAAGAAGATTGTACCCACTATCGTTTAGGATATTTTCAACATCACCAAAGTAATCAATTTCCTAAGACGAGTAACAGACCCTTCAAAGTGCAATTAAAATTTATACAATAGATATAGATAAGGTTAGTCACTAAATATATCTAGCGTCTTCTTCCCGCATTCAAAATCGTACTGGAATATTGAAAGAAAACGATAGATCTGATGTCGTCTCCGTCAGCGACATGATTGCTACCACTGGAGATTGCGTCCTGATTAAACGGGGCAACGCAAAGTATCCCAGAGAAGTTATACCATTTTTTAAGGATGGTTCGATGATTATATATATGCAAAATGATATATATGCAAGATGAACAACTGTATCGACGGGAAAACGTGATACAAAAAATTAAGGTGCCAATGTGCGTTAAGAGGGAGAATTATGTTATTACATAGTTAGATGACTCTAAAAGTCATGCTTAAATTAAGACTGATTAATTTGATTTTAAAAAACAAAAGAGCATTTTCAGAAAGACTAATAAATAATTACAAAAATAATAACTTAAACGAAATTAATAAATGAAAAA